ATGGAGAACTTCCCCGATCTTCAGGTTTAACTCCCTGAAATTCGCGTTCACCACACTGCTACTGGCCCTATCGGACAGTTGTGCAACAGGATTCAAATTCACTTCACCTGCTGGTGTCCGAATCCCGACGGTTTTCTCTACCGAGAACATCCGTTTCTCAAGCTTGTCCAAATCCTTAAGGATCTCGTCCTCAGAGGCAGCATGGCTTCTGCGGGCAGCCTCATTATTCTCCTGGATCATCAGGCGAAGCCGATCAGTTGATGCCTCATTGTCCCTGACAGATTCATGGACCTCGTGGGACAGTAGGTTAATCCTCTGCTCCACGACCTCGGCTTGCTCATCGATGGCTTGCCTCACAATGGCCTTGCTATCGGGAATAACTTCCCTTGCGAACCGTTGAACTATCATTCGCATCCTCCCGGCATCAGATTGAGTCGCAACCTCAGCTGCCAGGCGATCGACCTTGTCCTTCGTCCGTTGACTCTCGTCGCTCCATTCCCTTCGCATGGAACTCACCTGACCGTTCAGTACCCTGATTTGGTCAGCAAAGATGTGGAACGTCTTCGCGACTGAGCCAGAAACCTCACCTCTCTCGAGCATCTCTTGGATGTGCAAATCGAACACCTCCTTCGCCCTAGCGTCACCTGATTCGCCGGAAGACTGGGATCTAAGGGCGGGAGGAGTCGATATCTCGATCCTCTCAGGAGCCCCACCAGCCCCGGCATGTCTTCTGGGGTCATCCACGGGACAATCACCAACCCCAGATGGCCTGCTAGGAGTAGAACCCCTTCTACGGCTATCGCCGGAACGGGGATCAACATGGGACGCACGAGACTCGGGAGTAGAGTGGATGTGAACATCAGCAGGATCAGGCATCTCCTCATCCTGCGGAGTTGAGTCCATTGGTGAGGGGCTAGCCCTCCTCGCCTTCGACCTATCGGTCTCAATGGCCAGGGTTGACGGTCTCTTCGCAGAAGCGCTACGTTCCCTGGCGGTCGAGCCCCATTGAGGTGTGAACTCGTTGCTGGACCTTAGCGTTTCAAGGTCACTGGTATCTCGCCCTAACGGGCTAGCGATCGACGGACGATCCTCGATTCCGAGTGCATCGGCAAGCCGACCATCTCTGGCACCTGCCCTAACGACATCGGCAGCCCGCTCAGTGATCCTCGGCGAACCAGTAACCCGGTTCGAGTTCACGTCTCTCTGATTCAACGGACCTCCAAAGGTGATGTTGGGAAAAGGGGGAACATTCGGGGTATCACCAATCGCCGGGGGACCTACCGGTCCCTCACGGTCATGGATGGCCTCCAATCCCCGAAGAACTTCCCGACAGTCCCTGGCTCTCTCTCTCTCGCTTCGGGCATCCCTGTCAACGCGAAGGTCCCTGGCGGCTCCACGAGAGAGGCTCCTGGGCCTCGCAGCATCACGGATCCTAGCATTTCGTCGTGATTGGTCCTCCTCCTCATCACGGCGATCCGCAAACGCGGCATACTCGTCATCATCATCGACCTCAAACTTGGCAGCGGCGGGACTAGTCCTTGCAGTCGCACGGCTGCCTGCATCTCGGCGTGAATGGCTCTCCTCCTCATCCGCAAAATTGTAACCTTCGCCATCATAAGACTCAGATTTGGCAGCATTAGGGTTGGGCCTACCGGCATCAGATCCCTGCTTTGAGCTACTGCCCCAACCTGCGGTTGATCTCAACAGATCATCGTATCCGAAGTCTGAGAACTTCCGCTCCTCGTGCTCATCAAATTGACCTGGATTTTGAGGACCAGTGGATCGGCCCGGGATACCTCCCGGAACCAGAACCATAGTCCCTGGTCCCTGCGGCCTACTCTCAAACTCATCCGAGACCTGCGACTCACCTGGAACAAGAGATCTCGGAGGTCGAACCGGCATGGCCTCCGGGTCATCCGAATGAGGGCGGGCCATGTCCATCGCCATGCTGATGAAGTCAAAATGTCCACGCCTGTGACCTGATTCAGAGCCACTCCTATCGGAGTAAACCCTTCGCTGCTCGTCGTCAGTGGCCTGGCGGAAAATACGATCGTCTCCATCGTCGGCGTACCTGCCATGGCTCCTGGGTGTATCCCTACCGGGATCTTCACCCCTGCGGCCCCGACCTGTCGAACCTGCTTCGAAGTCCTCGTAGTCATAGTCCGGTAGGTCCTCACCTGAGCGGAGGCCACCTAGAATGGCCTCCTCATCCACGACGCTCCTATGAGATCGTGGGGTCGACATAGAGCTTGTAGTTGATGGTCTCAAGCGCGTAGGAAAGTCCTACGGCTGATAACCTGTGATTCGGGCACGAGCCTGTACCCAGGCAATGGGTTAGTTGGGGTAAACAAGCCACAAAAGAAAGGTTCCCCAAAAGCAAACCAATCCCCGGTCCCAAAGAAACCAATCCGCGGTCCCAAAGATCAGGGTTTCCCACACACCAGAGAACCACAACCAAAAGGAAACAAACCAAACAAGAAAAGGGTTAACCCGCAACCTTGGTCGACAACAGGCCGCACGACTGGTCCCTACCAACCTGGCGGCGGCCCGAGGTCTCTTTCTCCCCCGAGATGCCGTCGGTCGACGCAGGGGTTCGGCGACGCCCATTCGAGGCGCGACGGAACCCAAAACTTGAGCCAAAACACCACAGGTCGGTCACTAACGCGACGTCCCTGATGATGATATTAACCATGGCTAATCACACAAGGTTAAACAGCCAGTTCTTTCGGTTGCAAGGCTGGTGGAACAAGGTTTCCAACCTACACTGGATGACAATCCAAGACTACAGCGCAACAAAGGATTCAACAGCACACTGGAGAACAGAGATGGCCTGTTCTTCCTACAAGCAGAAATCACAGCACTACCAAAAAGAACAAAGCTACAGATACACAGCACAGAGCAAGGACAGATCGGCATGATAGCCCCAACTACAACACTTACACCACAAGGCACAGCGGACACAGGATACGCTGGAGATTACTGGCAGTTCAATACAAAAGGTGAACTTGCCAGAGTACACAGACAATACAGGAAGACACTCTTCACACCATCGAGAACACAGTGTCCAATCCCAACCGAACAACTTGAGGACTACAGGAGAACAACCATCAGATTCAAGGATGGTACAACGAGCACATTTGACGACAAGTATCAAACAATGGACAACCCAAACAACGCGCCGCCGCCGCGTAACCGCGCGGCCACCCGCCTTGCTTTCTGCAGGTAGTCCCCG